GGCCTCGCCGCCGCCGCCGCTCCCCGGCCGGGCCGGCGCCTCGCGGGTTTTTTCTGCGCGATCCGGTGAAAGGCAGTTTCGGTATTCGCTGGGTAAACGCGGCGCCTTGAAACTTCGCAGTAAGTTTGGCCCGGAAAGCGCGCAAGGGCGGACTGCCCCGCTCTTAATTGTGATTAGGAAATTACCGGTGAGAGTTAAATCGGCTTCCACTGCAGCGTTTAGCTGAGGCGCCGTTCACGAATACCAAAACATATAGCGCCGTTAAGAACTTGTAAATGAAACAGGTTGAGAAACACCTTTGCTTTTTTTGAGCTGATCACCTTAGTTTTGAAATATACATTATTTGACTCACGTGGAGAGGAGGGGGAAAAAAAGAAAAACCACGTTGTGACCCCAGCGTGGCAAGTCTGAAGGTTTTGGTTTCACAGTATTTAGCTGCAATAGTTCCTCTTCAAAGTTAATCAGAGCTGCGCGCCCCCCCTCGCCTGAGCCCCGGCGAGGAGCCCGGCCTGCGAGACGCGTGCCCTGGCGCAAGGGGTGCGCGAGCGGCTCCCGGGATTTGCACGGCTGAACCCCAGCAGTTGGTTGGCGAATAGGGCTCCAGCCGCTCGCAGGAGGTTGCGGCGAACCGGGAGCGCGTGAAGCCAGGCAGCGCACATCTGAATATTTAGCAAATCCTTTTAAAGCCCCGACTTGATTTATTTTAGTTGCTTTGTTTGATCGCCTTCCTTCTCTTCTGCGGATAGTGTTATAAGTTAGTTTTTGTGATCTTCCTTCAGGAAGCGTTGGTGTTTAATTTTGAGGGCGATCCTGACTTGCTTTTTCAAGGTGCCTTTTCGCTGCCAGGACAAGGAACGCAAGCTCTTAACTAGGTGTTCTGAAATGCTGTAGTCAGACGCTGTAAAGTAATGGTGCCTTTTATCCTAGGATCTTTGGGGTCGTCTGAAAAATACGGTACAGAACAGGATTTTATTTGAAGCCCTGAAATGCTTTTGGATTAGCTGAGTTATTTTATCTGTCAGTGATGTATTTTATGTTCAACTGACATAAGCATGTGCTAATTGTGAATAGATTCCTTCATAGCATGCACAGTGGAATTCTGTTTTCCTTAAATATTTTTTTTAGCTAAAATATTCAGTATAGTGAGGGATTTGTGTAAGACTCAGGTTATTTTTCATTCCTTAATCTTTAGTGTAGATCTTATCTTTTGCTTTCAGCCAGGGCCAGCATATTGTTAGCATTTAATGATAATTAAGGTGCATTGGAAGTATTATTAAATGTGTTCTGAGAAGTGTAATTGCTAATGGCTTACTATGCCTGCTCTGAGGTTTGGTTAGCTGAATGTGGGTTTCTGAATCAGAAATGTAATTATATTAGTGCCTTACAGGGACAGTTGAAATCCATGCATTTCAGATGGATGAGATTCTGCGCTAATTGTTGTCAGTGGTGTTTCCCAGTGAGAAAAGCAGGACTGTATGAAGCACTAGATGTTGCTGGCCCCTTTTCAGCATGTGAAGCTTCCTGTTTCACTCTTGGTGGCAAAAAAACCCCCAAGTACACAGTTTGTATGGGACTGTGGCATTGAACACTTAAAGCCAGACAAGTCCTGGTGGACCATTTTCTGCTTTTGTTGCTTCAGATGTGTTCTCTCTCATCAATCTCTTCCAGGAAATCCTGGGATAGCAAAGAGGAATTCATAAAACTTCAGTGCAGCGCAGTTGTGTGAAGTCTTTCAGCTCCTACAGTGGTGTCTCCTTCCACTGCAGCAGTGTGGGGGCAGAGCTGCCGGCTACCCGTGGGTCCTGGCCTTTGCAGACCCTTCCGGGGGAGGGGAGGAAGCAGCCTTAGCAGAGGGGAATTTTAGGGAGAGCTCCTCTGACCCCTCCTGCATCCAGGAGCTGCAAATAGCAAGCAATGTGGGGCAGTGACACAGTTGAGGGTGGTGCCATCTTCATCTGGCACAGCTCGCACAAATGAGCATGCGCTTTACCTAGCGATAAAGGAGCCGCATTCTAGTTCTGGGGTGCTCGTGTTGGCTAATGAAAAAGCATTCTGTATTCGATTAAAGTAGTTCTCTTGTAACCATTAATGTTCATGCACGTTTTGAGAATTACCTGGGATGCTCAGAGTACTGAATAGTTTTTACATGATGTGCTGCAGTCAGGTCAAAAGGAGGTCCGATTGCTGCATTTGGTTTGAAACCAGAATACCTTAAAACAAACTCAGAATGTTTTCATTTTTGTTGGCTTAATTGGTTCTGTTAAATGTAATTTAGGCTTTTAGGAAAAATGTTTCTTTGCTGTCCTTTCAAGATGAGACTGATGCTTCAATAGTCGGTCTGGAGGAATTTTTGGAGGAGCAGCTTTGATGCACGTTTGTCGAAAGTAATGTAATCTAAACGGAAGCCCTGCTGAAGAGGACAGCTTTGTCAGCGCATGGATACCCATGAGTGTTCCTAACCTTTGTATCTCTGTAAAGCTTTAACCTCATCATGAAAGTTCCCGATAGCAGCTGGGAGGATTGTTCTGCAGCCAATCAAATAGGCTCAGTATTTGTCTGTTAGCCTCAGTTAAATAAGCAAGAATTGATATTTTGGCCTTCTCTTCTGAAGGGCCAATTGCTAGGACTGAACGGCACTGCTCCCGCAGCATAGCACATACTGTATTTTCAGAAGACTTACGAGAACTAGGGGCTTTTTTATCCTCTCGGAGACTACCATGTCTTGCTGTTAAGCTGAATGACATCAGGGCTGGGTCTTGTGGAGCTGCGTTACAGCTCTTGTAGTGCTTCTGCTACAAAGAGGAAGTA